ACATTGACCCTCAAACTCCCAAATCCTACAGATACATTTTCAGTTTTTTTCTTTATTGATCCCTTTGTGGCATTCCAGGCTGTTGATTGCCCCTTCCACTGGACAACTCTTTTGCCCCTTGACTTCCATAACACCCCTCTTCCCTGATGATGATCCTAATCGTCAGACCAACCCTTGTTTTTACCAGTTACCTCTCATATGCCTATCATTTAAATATTAAACTTGCCTCTCCAACTTTTGTCCTGCCTTTTAAATCTCCCTGAGTAATTTCACTTGTGCCTAATGTTTCAGCTGACTCCTTATTTGCTTATGAGTCGCAAATAATTTCGACTTGTCTTCTGAATTCTTGCCTAAATTTCTGATAACCTCCAAGCACATCCAACTCTGTTACCTAAGCTCAACTTTTGAGGGGTCTTTAATTTCTTTGAAAGTCTGATGAAAGAGCCTTCCCCCACCATAACCGAATATATGCTCAACATCCTGCCTGTCATTACCTTCAGGGAGTTAGAAGCCCATCTATGCCTTCTGGATCCATGGACTCCAATTTAATAATTCCTGGACTAGAGTAAATAGGATCAACTATAGATGCCCTAGCTTGGAATCAGAGATTCTTCTGTCTTGTGCTACTGTGTGGCTATTGGTTATCCATTTCTTCTTGCTCTGACACTCTCCATTGTGCTCTGGAGCATATAACTTATGCTACAGCATAATTTTTGTACACATTTGCCCGGGGTTACATCCTTAGTCTGGATTCTGGTTTTGAAAATTCTGTTTTGACCTTTTAGTATCCATACTCTTCGAATGGCTAGGCTTAGAGGGAAAATCACATTTACTAATTCCACTGCTATTGAAGGTTTCAGTAAAATAACTGGCTTTTCTATATTCCTGTAAGAACCTTTAGAATGTATTTTCTCATGCTGTAATTTAGTGCAGCCCACTCTGCTTTGTATACACTATCAGCCTCCTCATACCATAACTTTCATATAGCTCTTCTATGGTGGATATGTAGTACACGTTAATTCATGCACAGTACCCTGTGCATGAACTCAGGTAGTTTGACCTGATATTTTGGAATGCCATCCAAGCACAAGACAAAGGCTAACTTCTACTGCTTAGCATTTTCCAGATGGGACCAGATTTACAGCTACCCTTTCATCACTCGACCAACTGCCCACATGCCCTACAGTAGAGATCCTTCACGTAGGTCTTGCAGGTTTCGTCTGTTAACTGTAAAAGTCAACAATTTATAATTTAGTTCACTCAATTGGAAACCTTTCTCTATCTTTTCTGTCATAGTCTTCCTTCCTAAATTGTTTCTACCTTTGTTGACTGACTGTACAAATACTGGAAAAATGAGTTCAATGAGTCTGTAAATTCAGTGGGTGCTAGGAAGTTTTAATTTTCTCATAGTCTGGCCTGGCAGCTTGATTCTTGGAGCCTCTAGAAAGAGCTGATTCCACAAAGATTCAAGATTGCTCTCTGTCCACGTATCCCAAAGAGTGGGCCCTCTCCTGATTGGCAGGTCAGGGGGATTTGAGAGTATCTCTTATTCAAAGCTTCTGCAGAAGGAGAATTCCCCAACGGACTCTAAACCGCCTTAGCCATAACATTTGTTGATGGAGCTGCCCACTCTGTTCAGAACACAATACTAGCACAGAACCAATCCCCTCTCCAGGGCCAGCACTAGAGCATAGACATCTTCCAAGCTAGATCCACAATGACCATCTCTACCTCTCTACTTCCATGCTAGACTGTGCCTTGTTTCCAGGTCCCACCTGTGTTTCTTGTGTCCCCATATTTATATCAACGATTGCCTGCCTTGACCTCTCTTGCCAGATCCAGCCCAATCACGCATGCTTTATTGTATTTTAGACACACCTTATTTGATATTAGTAACAATGATAAACTCTAAAAGCTTATAAGCATTAAAAAATTATCTTCCAATTTTTCTGTATTGAAAGGAAATAATCATGAGTTTTAAAATAATTTTCCACAGTTAGAAAACTCCTTTCTTAACTAGGTTTTAACAAATATTGTTCCTTATACTTCTGTTAAGAACAATGTACCCATCAGTGTTCATTTATAACATTTTTTTTTTTTTTACTTTCCACTCATCATCAAAAAATTTTTGTAGGATCAGTAATGCATTGTCATTGCATGTCAAAAACACAGTTGAAACAAACACATAGCACACATTCTTTAAGTTTTGTTTGTTGAGTAAAGTTCTAACATGAATTTTAACCATGGAAAGCCCAAATTAGCATGCCTTTGACCTGGCATCTGGAGGAGGAGGGTGTTAAAGACCAAGGTGCCAGGAGGTTCTGCACTGGCATTAACATCTCTGCAGGAGCAGAGGTAGCACAATAGCAACTTCTGAGAAGAGGTGAAGAAAAGCATCATTACATACAGATTTATTTTCAGTTATAAAAGCTTATGCTTTTTATTTTAGTGATACTGAACAAATGTAATTTTTAAAGCACATTCCTCTATTAATAGCATAATTACCTTGCCATCTTTATTATCTGCATAATTAAAACGTAAATTCTTCACTTCTCAGTGTAGCAATTCAATGAAGGTACTTGGCTACTATGTTAATACATCTTTTAAATCCATTACAGCCACGCAGCAGTCTGCGCTTTTGAGGTTTGGTGAACACAGCTGGATTTTGAGAACACAACCAGCAGGGCTGAGAAACTAATTGCCCACTGTATTTGAAGTATTTAAAAATTTTTCTCCAGTAATTTCATATATACTATTTTTTTAATGAAACAATTACATACTGCAAACTTAGTCTTTTTGAATTAATTCTTCTGGCTGATTTTCCTCAATAGAATCCACACTCAGGGGTGCTCTGTTTAGTGTAGTTGATTTAGAGCCATCAGGGAAGTCTCAATTATAAATCTAAGCATTTTAGTTCAGAGACTCTGGGAAAATTTCAGATCTTGTTTATTCAGAAAAACTAGTGAGGACTACATATATTTAAAAATATTTTAGAAGCCACATAGTTCATATTTAAGTATATATTGCAGCTTTTCAATGAAACCATTATGGCCTGCCTGAATTCTAATTTTATTTTAATTTTTAAAAATTTATTTATTTATTTATTTTTAAAGAGAGGGGAAGAAAGAGAGAGAGAGAGAAACATCCATGTGAGAGAGAAACAGCAATCGGTTGCCTCTTGTATGCTCCCCAAGCGGGACAGAACCTTGCAACCCAGGCATGTGCCCTGACTGGGAATTGAACCAGTGACCTTTCACCTTAGGTGATAACACCCAACAGAGCCACAGTGGTCAGGGCCTTAATTCTAATTTTAAATAAAAGGAGCAAGGGATTAAAATGATAGGGTCGTAGGGCACGGTTCATGACTGGTTTAAGGCAAATAAACAGAAGTGTTGGTGATTCAGCTCGTGCCAGCCGTGGGCAGGCCACCCCGCGCACATCCCCGCAGCAGATGGGCCGAGTCCCAAGTATCTGCAAAAACGGCAGCACCTAAAAGTGACACTGCTTCTGCAAAAGGGGCAATTTAAAAGTTATTGTGAAAGAAGGCAAATCATATGTTACCTTTAAAGTGAAAACCTAGATGAAATCATTTCTAAATTTCTGAAAAATACAATTAATAAAAAAATATAGATATAAGTAATGAATTAGTTTCATATGCAATATTATAATCTCAATTAGTATCAGCATTTTTGCTGAGATTATTATTTTAACAGAATATTCTTCTCATATATCAACATCTTAATAACATATATCACACCTTCTTCCATTTTAATCGTGTAAATTGATGTCATAAAAGTTAATGGAGAATCAAACTGATGACAAAGTTTAGTGAAGGAAATTGTAAATAAATAAGGAATTATTTATAAGCTGTTTCTTTTCAAAGTTGTTTCTGGTACTTCTTATGACATTAAAACTGAATTTGGTTTAATACGTATTTTCTAGTACATGCTTTTTAATAGTGACTTATTTAAAGTTAACCGTAGAACACAAAACAAAAAAATTAGATTTTAATGTTCTAATTTAGTTGAAGCAACATTTGCTTTAGCATAGTAATGATATTGTTATTTATTTAAAAAATCAAATGAGCCCTGACCAGTGTGGCTCAGTGGGTTGGGCATCGTACTGCAGGGCAAAGGGTCCTGGATCAATTCCCTGGTGGGCACATGCCTGGGTGGAGAGTTCGTTCCCTGGTCAGGGTGAGAGGCAACGGATCAATGTTTCTCTCTCACACTGACATTTCTCTCCCTCTCTCCCTCTCTTCCCCTCTCTCTGAGAATAAAAATAAGTAAAATCTTTGAAATCAAGAGAAAAACATTAAGGAATGAAAAGAACATTAAAAATACTTTGGTTTTTAATTTAGTATTTCATAATGAGGTGTGTATCATTATGGTATGTGCTTAAGGTCATAAATTTACTTGTTTTCAAATAAAAACCTATGCTAATATATGTTTAGATTATGTTTATGGTAATTTAGTAATTAAATAATTATTTTAATGTTTGATATGTCATCATGTATTGTAACTTAAGATGATAATGATTTTTATATAAACTTATAAACTATGGAATCATAGTTTATTACTCATTTTTACTTTCTCTAGCTCACGAGTTTATAGATCTTAGTTTCTTCTAATATTGGGTTTGTGTTTAAAATAAATATCAAGTAAACAGGTGTTCATCCTTAGTGAGAAGATAGCATGTGTGAACGTAGCACTATGCCTGGCACATGGCTGTTGTTAAGTAAGTTCTTGCTAAATCTAAAACTCTCCTCTTTCTTATTATAGGATTTTCTTTGCCATAATATTATACCATATAAGAGAACAGAAAAAAAGAGCAATATCCCTGACTCATTTTGCATAACCACTGTGAACTAAAGATTGAATAGATATTTTTTGTGTAGTTTAGACTCTCTGTGCCCAAAGCTAGCAAATAGTTTGAATTCCTATCATATTTTGGACAGTGTAGCAAAATTCTAATTTTTTTTTTCTTTTGGCTTATGAAAGCTGAAAGCAGAAAACTTTTTCATGAACAAGAGTTTGAAAAATGCCTTGGAGCCCTTTTAGGCTCTGAAAGCGATGGGACTAAAATTGCTGCCTCCGCAGCTATCTCAGCAATGTGTGAGAGTTCAGGCAGCAAAGAATTTCTCAGGCATCAGGGTAAGCAAACTGGAAAAAACATACATTTTTAGGTTACCCTATCACAGCTGATGTTAATGCTATACAGCTACATTTTACCTTCCTTTCTTCTGTAGGGATTCCACAGTTGGTTCAGTTGCTAGAAAGCGACAGTGAAGAGGTTAAGGGAGCCGCAGCCCTGGCCCTGGCTAATCTGGCCGCTTGCAATCCCGCTAATGCAGAGTAAGTACAGAAGCGCTCACTCAACACTATGTTGTACGGGAGGTCTAACGGTGCAAGATGTGCTCACTTTAATATTTTGGCTTTCAAGGAAGTTTACATTTTCTAGCTGATGGTCTATCTTGGGATAAAACCCTTATGAAACTTCAGAAACCCTTATGAAAACGAGTCATCAGGTAGGCCTCGTTTCCAATGACACAGTCGTGCGCCACATAAGGATGTTTTGGTCAATGACTGACCACATGGCCGTCCCCAAAGATTATAATGGCGCTGAAAAATTCCTATCACCTAGTGACATCGTAGCCATCGTAAAGTCATAGGGCAACACATTACTCATGTTTGTGGTGATGGCAGACATATAAAAGTACTGTATGCCATGTTTTTACTGTATCTTTTCTATGTTTAGATGTGTTTAGATGCACAAATACCACTTAGATACACAAATACTTTCAGTTGGCTACAGTATTCAGTACAGTAACATGCCGTACAGGTTTGTAGCTTGGAAGCGGCAACAGGCTATGCTATACCTGGGTAGCAGCTATACCATCCACATTTGTGTAAGTACATTCTGTGGTGGTTGCACAGTGACAAAATCGCTATCAACACATTCCTCAGAATGTATCCCCATCATGAAGTGACACATGACTATTAAAATATCTTAACTATTTCTAGGCTTGTTTAGAAAATGCTCAAGTCATTTCAGGTAACAGGTTAATTCTTGTGGAAGCTTCTAGTTCAAATAAAACTGGATAATGATGGAAATCTTAAAGATAACATATAACAACATTTGATAAATTTAGACAAAACTTACAAGATCCATTTTAAATGGACATAAACATTAGATAAATCTAGAACATTTAGAAAGTCAACTTAAAGCAACATATTATGAGTAAATACTATGAAGAAAGGTTGGAAAGGAGTACTGTGTATTCTAAGCACGGTATGTGATCTATATTCATTGAAAAAATGAAATTATCAAGATAATCCATCAACTCATGAAGAGAGTCAGGCTCTGCAAGTTTACCTAATTTTCCTGGGCACAAGTATTTATTAAAATAGCTGAGCTGGAAATTAAATCCAAGTCTGTTGGACTCCAAAGTCTGTATTCTTTCCTCTACAGAAGATAAGGTTGCGTTATAAAACAGCAAAGATTTCTTGAAGACAACTTTTATAAGTAAATAAAATAATTCTTTTTCCTCCCTAGATCTCAGTTGATACATGTATTAGTCACTGTTCTCTAAGAAACAGAACCAATAAGAGATACATGAAAGAAAGAAAGAAAGAAAGAAAGAAAGAAAGAAAGAAAGAAAGAAAGAAAGAAAGAAAGAAAGAAAGGAAAAAGAAAGAAAGAGAAAAGAAAAGAAAAGAAAGAAAAGAAAGAGAGGAAGGGAGGGAGGGAGGGAGGTAGGGAGGGAGAGAAGAGGAAGGAAAGAAGAAGGAAAGAAGGAAGGGGAAGGGAAAGAAAAAAGGAAAAAAAGGAAAGGGAAAGAAGAAAGAAAGAAGGAAGGAAAGAAAGAGATTACATATCTTGGAATTGCCTCATTCAATTATGAAGGGTGAGAAGTCCCAGGACCTGCTGTCTGCAACCTGGAGAACCAGGAAAGGTGGTGGTATAGTTCAGTTCAAATCCAAAGGCCTGAGAACCAAGCGAGTCTTTTTTAAAAAAATTTTTATTGTTGTTCAGTTACAGTTGTCCCCATTTTTTCCCCAGTACTCTCCCCTGTCCTACCCACCCCTCCACCTCCCACATTCAGTCCCCACATGCCCCATTATCTTTGTCCATGGATGCTTTATACTTGTTCCTTGACTTGACCCTTCCCCTTCTTTCCCCCATTGTCTCCCAACCACCTCCCTTCTGGTCACTGTTAGTTTGTTCTTTATTTCCAGGTCTCTGGTTCTATTTTTCCTGCTTGTTTGTTTTGTTAATTAGATTCCACCTATAGTTGAGATCATACAGTATTTGTCTTTCACTGCCTGGCTTATTTCACTTAGCATAATCCTCTCTAGTTCCATCCATGCTGTTGAGAAGGGTAGGAGCTCCTTTCTTTCTGCTGTATAATACTCCATTGTGTAAATGTATGACAGTTTTTTGATCCACTCATTTACTGATGGGCACTTAGGCTGTTTCTAGCACTTGGCTATTTTTCTAATTACACTTTTTATTGTTTGTTATTTGCAAAGTAAAGATCACTTAAAATGGATAAAAATGTGAAAAAGAAATGAATAAGAATAAAAACTGCTATTTGAAGATGGAGGAAAACAGGACAAAAACAACTAGATTCATTTATTTAAAGTTATAGAAGGAGAAAGAAAAGTAAAATTATTTTTAGGTGAATAAATAAAAAGTGAGAATGTTAAAAGAACCTTTGTATAAAGAAATAGATGAAAATGAAAGTAGAAACCAAGAGTAGTAATGAATTTTATGTAATGCACTCAGTTAATTTGGACATCATTATCCATCCTTTCTTCATTGTTAATCTTTTTGACAATTCTCAATGTGTAATATTTTTGGAAAGGAAAGGGTTAATTTTTAAGAGGAATATTTTCAGCTAAGTTTCATGTTATACTTACCTGTACTCTTTTATCTGATTCATCATATCAAAGTTTTACAATATTTATGCACATTTTACAATATTTATGAGAGAATTATTCTTGGTTGACATTCTTCTCAGGGGTAGACCGTGCTAATATTGTACATATTATAAAAATATTTTAAACTATTAATTTATAACATCACTGCCATCTGTTGGATCCAATCAGAATTAGAGTTTTTAAGTTACCCCAAGAATAAAAAAGGGTCTATGTTTTTCATTTCCCTTTGCCAACTCTAACTAAATTTTGGCTATGGGTAAACTATGAAAAGATTACAAAATATTATAGTTATTGACTAAGTGTTTTTCAAAAGATACAGTGATTTTAGAAAATAAAACACAATGAATCTAATAAAAATATAAAAAGTAATGACTATAATTACTTCAATACCTATAGAAAAGTTAGTCAAAACTGCAGTTTTGCTACAGAAAATATAAAATCAAGTCTGTTATTTACACATATACTAACTCCGATTCTTTGTTCTTATTCCATGTTATCTCCATGAAAAAAATGCATGATTTTCCTAATCTTAGAGACTCCTCTTATCTCAGTTTTCTTTTATTTTTGATTTTTATACCCCATCTTGACTTCCCATGGCAACAGTGACTCAATATAGTTCTGGTGGCAGCATATATAGTGGTTACTTAAAAAAAAAAAAAAAAGATTGACTGCTGGGCCACTGTTGGCCTCCACAGTAACAAATACAAACAGCTTCTCGCTAGGGACTGTCCTGCTACTGTGTAATACAAGGCCAGGACCACAACAAAGGAAGTGAGGTCTTTTTAAAACAAAGTATACCCCAAAAGGACCCCAGAAAGAGATAGAATGCCCCCAAACTATATGGATGTGCATTTGAGAGCTTTGGAAACTTTTTTGAATGTCCTCATTATATATGGATGACCTGTCATTTTATATTATCAGTATGAATATTTTTCTTCACTAACAAAAATAAAGCATTACCTGAATAATTTTATACCTACTAGAATTATTCATGGAGTACCATGCCTAAGAAAGCCATGCAATTTGTAGAGAAAATATTTAAAAGGTATGCCACATACAGAACTTATACAGTAAGTACTTCAAGAAAAGATAGCATTTACTTATTCGCAGCGACCCAAAACTTGTAACACATTTCAGTATCCTCAGAGAAGGGCCTGACCTGACCTTAAATGACTTCTTTGAATGTGAAATCTCTCTAGTGTGTACAGAAAGCACCTTTCAAGGCTTTTGTGCTTGCTTGTTTGTTTGTTTGTTTTTCATTCCCACCCTATTTAATAGAGTTGGGGGAAGGTCATATATCTATTTATTTTTACTGTTTATTTTTATTTCTTTCATTCTGTAGATTGGCTAATTAGTCTAAAGTATAGATTAATGTTATTTCTTAGACTTTTATTGTGCACTTAAAGCTGTAGTGCAGTGAATTTATAGTTGTTTTGAAGGGAAAAACCCACCTCTCTTAAAGTTGACAAAATACCACAAGTTTTACCCTCCCCTCTCCATTCCTTTGGAGGAAGAGATAGGATATATGAGGCCTTTCTGGAAAAAGTCTAGCCACTGTTAACATAACGAGAATGGTTTGTGCAACATCAGTGTATCCTGGCAGCCAAGGAGAGTGGACTGGAATGTTCATGTGTGAACAATGATGACTTCACTGTACTAGTCAGTGGGGGCGGTAGATGCCAGTAGAGTGAGCATGTGTACTCTGTGGTCGTGCCATTCAAAATGACTGAGTGAGTAGAGCAATGAAGCTGCATCAAATTTTGTGTTAAGCTTGAGCATTCCTCCACAGAAACTACTTAAGTGATTCAGAAGGCCACAGCTATGGGCAGCTGGTGATTAGCAGCTTCATGAAAACAATGCACCTACTCATGCTGCACGTCTCATGCAGAGATTTTTGCGAAACATCAAGTCGACCAGGTGACTGAACCCCACTACAGCCCAGATTTGGTGCCCTGCAACTTCTGGCTTTTCAAAACTAAAATCACCTTTGAAAGGGAAGAGATTTGACACTATTGATGAGATTCAGGAAAATATGACAGGGCAGCTGATGGCTATTGGGAGAACTGTGTGAGGTCTCTTCTTTGAAGAGGTGCCTTCTTTGAAGGGGACTGAGGCATCATTGTCACATGTACAATCTTTCTTGTATCTTGTATCTTCTTCAATACATGTCTCTATTTTCCATAGTACATAGCTGGATATTTTCTGGACAGACCTTGCATATTTTTGAGATAGCTAGAGAGGTGTGCCATAATTCTTTGAAAATAAATTTTTATTGAATTTATTGGAGTGACACTAATTCATAAAACCATACAGATTTCAAGTGTACAACTTGATGAGACATCATCTGCACACTGCATGGTGCACTCATCGCCTGAAGCAAAGTCCCTTTTCATCCCCATTCTTCCCGTCTTTGCC